GAAGGAGGGGGAGGAGGGGAAGGAGGGGAAGGAGGGGGAGGAGGGGAAGGAGAGGAAGGAGAGGAAGGAGGGCGAATTGTGGATCAGAGTTCTTTTGGAGCGGGAGTGCGAGAGAGAGATCACCAGCCACCCTCGGCGTCCACGGGATGCCTGCAGGGTGTGGTGGTGGTAGTAGTGGTGGTGGTAGTGGTGATAGTGGTGGTAGTAGTAGTGGTGGTAGTGGTGGTAGTAGTAGTGGTAGTAGTGGTGGTAGTGGTGGTAGTGGTGATAGTAGTAGTGGTGGTAGTAGTAGTGGTGGTAGTGGTGGTAGTAGTAGTGGTAGTAGTGGTGGTAGTGGTGGTAGTGGTGGTAGTAGTAGTGGTGGTAGTGGTGGTAGTGGTGGTAGTAGTAGTGGTAGTAGTAGTGGTGGTAGTGGTGGTAGTAGTGGTGGTAGTGGTGGTAGTAGTAGTAGTGGTGGTAGTGGTGGTGGTAGTGGTGGTAGTAGTGGTGGTAGTGGAAGTAGTAGTAGTGGTAGTAGTAGTAGTGGTGGTAGTGGTGGTAGTAGTGGTGGTAGTGGTAGTAGTAGTAGTGGTAGTAGTAGTAGTGGTGGTAGTGGTGGTAGTAGTGGTTGGTGGTAGTGGTGGTAGTAGTAGTGGTGATAGTGGTGATAGTAGTAGTGCTTGATAGTGGTGGTAGTAGGAGTTGGTGGTAGTGGTGATAGTGGTGGTAGTAGTAGTAGTGGTGGTGGTAGTAGTAGTGTTGGTAGTAGTAGTAGTGGTGTTAGTGGTGGTAGTAGTAGTGGTGGTAGTAGTAGTAGTGGTGATAGTGGTGGTAGTAGAAGTGGTGATAGTGGTGGTAGTAGAAGTTGGTGGTAGTAGTGGTGGTGGTAGTAGTAGTGGTGTTGGAAGTAGTAGTGGTGGTGTTAGTGGTGGTAGTGGTGGTGGTAGTAGTAGTGATAGTGGTGGTAGTAGAAGTTGGTGGTAGTGGTGGTAGTAGTAGTTGTGATAGTGGTGGTAGTAGTGGTAGTAGTAGTGTTGGTAGTAGTAGTAGTGGTGGTAGTGGTGGTAGTAGTAGTAGTGGTGGTAGTAGTAGTGGTGATAGTGGTGGTAGTAGTAGTGTTGGTGTTAGTGGTGGTAGTGGTGATAGAGGTAGTGTTAGTAGTAGTAGTGGTATTCGGTAAAGTCACCGCGTAGGTAAATTGACTATCACCGAAATGAACCAAAGAGGATCTTCCCCAACCCTAGATTCGAAGCTTTACTGAGTGCAAGGATCCACGCACCTCGGTTCTATTCGGTAAAGTCTTTGCAGTCACGAAAGCTTTAAATCTAGAATAGTGGTGGTAGTAGTAGTGGTGATAGTGGTGGTAGTAGTGGTGGTGATAGTGGTGGTAGTAGTAGTGGTGATAGTGGTGGTAGTAGTGGTGGTGATAGTAGTAGTAGTAGTGGTGATAGTGGTGGTAGTGGTGGTAGTAGTAGTGGTGATAGTGGTGGTGGTAGTAGTAGTGGTGGTAGTCGTGGTGGTAGTAGTAGTGGTGGTAGTAGTGGGGGTAGTAGTAGTGGTGGTAGTAGAAGTTCGTGGTAGTGGTGGTAGTAGTAGTAATAGTGGTGGTGGTAGTAGTAGTAGTAGTGGTGGTAGGAGTAGTGGTGATAGTGGTGATAGTGCTGGTGGTAGTAGTAGTGGTTGATAGTGGTGGTACTAGTAGTAGTGATAGTGGTGTTTGTAGTAGTAGTGATAGTGGTGTTAGTAGTAGTAGTGATAGTGGTGTTAGTAGTAGTAGTGATAGTGGTGGTAGTAGTAGTGGTCTTAGTGGTGGTAGTAGTAGTAGTGGTGTTAGTGGTGGTAGTAGTAGTAGTGGTGGTGGTAGTTGTAGTGGTGGTAGTAGTAGTAGTGGTGGTGGTGGTAGTAGTAGTGTTGGTAGTAGTAGTAGTAGTGTTAGTAGTAGTAGTGGTGTTAGTGGTGGTAGTAGAAGTTGGTGGTAGTGGTGTTAGTAGTAGTAGTGGTGGTGGTGGTAGTAGTAGTAGTGGTGGTAGTAGTAGTAGTGGTGGTAGTAGTAGTAGTAGTGATAGTGGTAGTAGTAGTGGTGGTGGTAGTAGTAGTAGTGGTGTTAGTGGTGGTAGTAAAAGTTGGTATTAGTGGTGGTAGTAGAAGTTGGTGATAGTGGTAGTAGTAGAAGTTGGTAGTAGTAGTGTTAGTAGTAGTGGTTGATAGTGGTAGTAGTAGTGGTGATAGAGGTAGTGTTAGTAGTAGTAGTGGTATTCGGTAAAGTCACCGCGTAGGTAAATTGACTATCACCGAAATGAACCAAAGAGGATCTTCCCCAGCCCTAGATTCGAAGCTTTCCTGAGTGCAAGGATCCACGCACCTCGGTTCTATTCGGTAAAGTCTTTGCAGTCACGAAAGCTTTAAATCTAGAATTGATAACCTCTACGGGGAGGGCTTTCTCCTGAAAAAGGCCGCTTGTGTTGTGGCCGAAACGTCGTGATTTTTGATGTTTGATTTTGTTAGCCTACTACGTGGTGAC